GTTGGAAGACAGCAACCACCCAGGGAGGTACTACCATCCTGTGGTAGTAGGTTGGTAGACAGCAACCACCCAGGGAGGTAGTACCGTTCTGTGGTAGTAGGTTGGTAGACAGCAACCACCCAGGGAGGTAGTACCGTCCTGTGGTAGTAGGATAGTAGAAAGCAACCACCCAGGGAGGTAGTACCATCCTGTGGTAGTAGGTTGGTAGACGGCAACGACTGTCCTGCCAAATGAGCGTAAAACGGAAGCCTGTAATTGTTTTATACAACTGTAGGATTTTCTGTCTTGTTAATATGCAAGATTTCAGGTGCGTGTTGCTACTTGTGTTGTACACTTGGGGTCACACCACACGTGTTGTACACTTGGGGTCACACATGTGTTGTACACTTGGGTCACACCACACATGTGTTGTACACTTGGGGTCACACCACACATGTGTTGTACACTTGGGGTCACACCACACATGTGTTGTACACTTGGGGTCACACCACACATGTGTTGTACACTTGGGGTCACACCACACATACATGTACAAGCATATATACACACACCACTTTGGGTTATTTTTTATTGTTTTACTAGTTCTTGTTTATTTTCCCTCTAGGGTTAAAAACAGTTTGCTTGATCTTGGAGTTAAATATAACTGATACATAAATTATGAGATGCTTGATTTTTTTATCAGTGCATCTCTAATCATTTATAAAATAGACAGCAATTAATAAAGTACTGTAGTTTATAAACAACCAAGCATTACTATTGTGAACTGGTTGTGGATGTATATTAACACTAACATAGGGCCATATTAAGGGAAGGTGACGTGAGCCAGCAGCTCACATACAAGGGCCATCCAAAAGGATGCCAGATTAATGGACAATTCAGAGAATTATGTTAGCAGTAAGTTAAAATGTTATTTTAAAATCATTAAATTTTTTTAATCTTTATGATGTGTAATAGAAACAGTTTCATTTTGAAATCCCACTGTGAGAGGTTCACCAGTCCATGTCCCCCTCTTCCTCGTCTATTTTTTTTTTTTATTTTCCTGAACTTTACTTCCCCTTTGCTCTCTACCCTTTTCCCCTCAGCTTCCTGCATCTCTCCTCTCCTGTCTCTCTCCCTTTCTCTTCTTGTGCCTCTCCCTTTCACTTCTGCCTCTCTATCCCTTCCTTTTCTGTGTCTCTATCCCTTCCTTTTCTGTGTCTCTATCCCTTCCTTTTCTGCCTCTCTATTCCTTCTTCTGCCTCTCTATCCTTTAATCTTCTGCCTCTATCTCCTTTCCTCTTCTTCACACCCTCCTTATTGGTATAATAGTTACTAAATTATGGAATCTTTCCTGGCAGAGACCTCTTTCTCCAGCAGACAGCTACACCACAGCAAATAGCTTCTCTCTTCCTCCCCAGCAGAGCGTTCATACCCACCAGACAGATCCTCAACCAGCAGGCAGCTCTTCCCCAACAGGTAGTAGCTCTTGTCCAACAGACAGCTCTTTCCCAACATGCAGCTCCTCCCCAGCAGGCAGCTCATCTCACCACTGTGTTTCCACCACCCAGATATTTTCCTGCACTTATGTCTAGAGTCGAGATGAGCACTGCTCTTAGTGTCCTTCATATTTCTTTCCTTCTTTGTTATTTCTGCCCCCTAATGGTCAGGCCCATAAGGCCCTAAAGGTGGGCCTAATGTGCCTAACATGATGGTCTACAACAGCTGCGCCTCTCCATTTGTTCCACTGTCTACAGTGTAAAAGTCTTCATCCTCGTGTCTCTGTACTTGACTGATGAAGCCTGTGTCTTATTTGTCAACTTGTCAGCAATATGTGGAAAAAGACACTTATGTACAGTTCAGGACATTTATTAAAGGAAACGTTTCGCCACGAGGCTGAAGAAGCCACTCGTGGCGAAACGTTTCCTTTAATAAATGTCCTGAACTGTACATAAGTGTCTTTTTCCACATCTTGTCGGTATCACCATACCATTTCCTCATTGTCAGCAATATATTATTGATCTAATAACATACTGACGGTGCTATTTTTCTTCCCTCATCAAGATCATAAGTGAAGATTATGAACTGATCCTTGTGGAACATTGTGTCTAGTTCCCATTTTGATTTCACACCATTTCAGTCTGCTGTTCTTCGATTTCTCGTCCTTTTTATTTGATCTTGGTTTTCTTCAGGGGAATGTATAATCTAGACAGTTTGTTTAGCATTTAGGGAAATTTTTATATTGGTAGTTCTCTTTGTTACCACAGTTAACACTGGGGTAACATGTCTTCTCTGAGCTTATTATAGTCAACTGAGCTAAAATATGATGCATTGCCATCATAATTCTTTCAGGCTCTGTTAAATATAATTGATATTTTGATGGCTCTGCGATCTGGAAGATTTTATGAGGGAATCTTCATTTTGTAGACCCAAATCAACCGGGTTATTTCCTGTCTTTAGTTCTTTCACAAAGTGTTTTACAGTACAATCCTGGACTACCTCAAGTAAGTCGTTTTACTCGAAGAACTTGCAGTCAATTTTGTTAAAATTAACGCTCCTTAGGATTAGTAAATTTTCATATCTTCAAACCCTAACAGTTTCATCCAGAAGTGTCCTCAGGGCGTTTTCTAAATCCGAGCGTCAATATTCGATACTTGAATCACATTTTCACTTCCTTCAGAAAATTGTAACCATACAGATTCAATGTCACTTCCTCTTGACTTTATATCTTTTTATATGCAACAGTTCGTTTTTTCCGATATACAGCGCCACTCCTCCACCTTTCTTGCAAGCGTAGCAAGCGTACCTCGACTCTCCAAATTAACCCACAATTGGTTATTGCTATGTTTACTATATATGTAATTAATCTTAGCCAGTTTATCTCGTTCCTAGCGCTACGGCAATTTGTGTAATATATGGCGAGACTGTCTTCTGTGCCTTCCCTCTGTTCATGTTTACCTTTCCCTTATTTATGGAGTTTTCATCATTAACAAGCAAAGTCGATACATCGGAATTTTGGTTACATGGGAGTTCGGGGCCCTTTCCTTCCCCGTAAAAGTCCTTCCCCCCGAATTTTTTTTCCCTTTTTTTTAAATTTTAAATTTTT